GTGGCTACCGGCGCCTCGGCATAGTCAGCTGATTCCATCGCTGACTATAGGGGGCGAAACTCTGGCCCCCTCGGATAGGGTACGCAATCTGGGTGTCCTCCTGGATCCACGGCTGACACTGGATGACCAGTTGGCGGCCGTGACCAGGGGGGCGTTCTATCAGGTACGCCTGATACACCAGTTGCGACCTTTTCTGGACTGGGACGCCTTGCGCACAGTCACTCATGCCCTGGTCACCTCCCGCCTGGACTACTGCAATGCTCTCTACATGGGGCTCCCCTTGAGGAGCACCCGGAGGCTCCAGTTAGTCCAGAATGCGGCCGTGCGGGCGGTGTTGGGAGGGACTCGTCGCTCCCATGTAACACCGCTGCTGCGCGAGCTGCATTGGCTGCCAGTGGCCTTCTGGGTGCGCTTCAAGGTGCTGACCATCATCTTTGAAGCGCTCCATGGCATCGGACCTGGATATCTTCGAGACCACCTCCTGCCGCAGATTACCTCCCATCGGCCTGTACGCTCCCACAGAGTGGGTCTCCTCAGGGTGCGGTCGGCCAGACAGTGCCGGCTGGCGACCCCAAGGGGGAGGGCCTTCTCTGTGGGAGTTCCCACCCTCTGGAATGAACTACCCCCAGAGATCAGGGTGATCCCTGATCTCCCTTCCTTCCGCCGCGCCCTAAAGACATGGTTATTCCAGCTTGCAGGACTGGCCTAGGGGAAAATTTTTAATGGGGGTTTTAAAGTAATTTTAAATTAATCAGACCAATTATTAATATTTGTTTTTAATTATGTTTTAATCTGTAGTTTTGGGATCTGCATTTTTATCTGGTTGTTAGCCGCCCTGAGTCCGCAAGGAGAAGGGCGGGATATAAATATAAACAATAAATAAATAAATAATATAAACAATAAATTTGAGGTCCCTTAATTTAAAACTTGTTGCCCTAAAATGCACCATTTTAACAGAATAACAAAGTTGGAAGGGACCTTGGAGGTCTTCTAGTTCAACCCCCTGCTAAGGCAGGAAATCCTATACCATTTCAGACAAATGGTTGTCTAGTGTCTTCTTAAAAACTTCCAGTGTTGGAGCATTCATAGCTTCTGGAGGCAAGTGGTTCCACTGGTTAATTGTTCATGGAATGAATCCTTTTATGGGAACTAAGTTGGCTGCTCTTCCTGAACCTTTTTCTGCACGTCATACACTGATAAAGAGTTTCTCCCTTGAATGGGTCCTTTGATGGGTAGCGAGGCTACCACATTAACTGAAGCTCATTTCACACATTGTATATTTATAGTTTTTCTCGCCAGTGTGGCATCTCATATGGCAGACCAGGCTCATGCTCCTATTGAGGGCATTTGTAGGGCTTCTCCCCAGTGTGGCTGCTTTTATGGACACTGAGGCTGCTGCATTGGCTGAAGCGCTTGTTGCGCTCCTGGCATTGGTAAAGTTTCTGCCCTGTGTGGATCCTCATGTGGGCAGTGAGGTTCTCAGAGATGCTGAAACTGTTTGTGCAATTGTCACATTTATAGGGATTTTCCCCAGAATGAATCCTCTTATGAATCGTAAGATTGTACTTCTGACTGAAGCTCTTCCCACATTCCATGCATTTGTAAGGTCTCTCTCCCGTGTGGAGCCTCTTGTGAATGTTGTTGTTGTTGTTAATTGCGAAGTCATGTCTGACCCATCGTGACCCCATGGACAATGTTCCTCCAGGTCTTCCTGTTCTCTACCATCTTCTGGAGTCCATTTAAGTTCATGCCTACTGCTTCAGTGACTCCATCCAGCCACCTCATTCTCTGTCGTCCCCTTCTTCTATTGCCCTCAATCTTTCCCAGCATTAGGCTCTTCTCCAGTGAGTCCTTCCTTCTCATTAGGTGGCCAAAGTACTTGAGTTTCAACTTCAGGATCTGGCCTTCTAAAGAGCAATCGGGGTTGATCTCTTCTAGGACTGACCGGTTTGAATGCCTTGCAGTCCAAGGGACTCGCAGGAGTCTTCTCCAGCCCCATAGTTCAAAGGCCTCAATTCTTTGGTGCTCAGCCTTTCTTATGGTCCAACTTTCACATCCATACATTGCAACTGGGAAAACCATGGCCTTGACTAAACACACTTTTGTTGGCAGGTGATGCCTCTGCTTTTTAGTATGCTGTCTAGATTTGCCATAGCTTTCCTCCCCAGGAGCAAGCGTCTTTTAATTTCTTGGCTGCAGTCCCCATCTGAGGTGATCTTGGAGCCCAGGAAAATAAAATCTGTCACTACCACCTTCCCCACCTATTTGCCAGGAATTGAGAGGGCCGGATGCCATGATTTTGGGTTTTTTAATGTTGAGATTCAAGCCAACTTTTGCACTCTCTTTCTTCACCCACATCAAGAGGCTCTTTAGTTCCTCTTCACTTTCTGCCATTAGAGTGGTATCATCTGCATATCTTAAGTTGTTGATATTTCTCCCGGCAATCTTAATTCCAACTTTTGATTCATCTAGCCCTGCCTTTCTCATGATGTGCTCTGCATATAAGTTAAATAGGCAGGGTGACAGTATACAGCCTTGCCGGACTCCTTTTGTGAATAGCAAGCATATAATTCTTACAGAAGTTCTTTCCACACTCCGTGCATACATACATAGAACTTTTCTACTGAATGCATTTTTTTATGGATACGAAAAACACCGATGTCACTAAAACCCTGTCCACACACAGTACATGTATATGGAGTTTCCCCAGAATGGGAAGAAAAATCACTGTCGAAACCGAAGCTCTTTCCAATCTCAGTGCATTTATACGAATTCTCCCACACATGGATACTTTGATGAGACTTCATCTGACTTCTCCACCAGAAGCCCTGGTCTCATTCCGTACATTTATAGGGTTTCTCCTCTGAATGGACCCTTTTATGGCTCCAGAGAGCACGGCGGTCACTAAAACTCTTTCCACACTCGGTATAGGCATGTGGTTTTTCTCCCGTGTGGATCCTGTTGTGCAAAGTCACTTGTACTGAAGCTCTTTCCACACTCTGTACATTGGTAGGTCTTCTCTCCCATGTGCTTCCTCTTGTGAAAAGTCAGGTTGCGGCTCTTGCTGAAGCTCTTTCCATACTGCAGACATTTGTATGGTTTTTCCCCAGTATGGACTCTTTTGTGTAGAATAAGGTCACTGTTCAACATAAACCACTTTCCACATGCCGCACATTGAAATGGTTTCTCTCTTGGGTGAAGCCTTTTATGGGAAGTGGGGCTACTGCTTCTACTGAAGCTCTTTCCATGCCCTTTGAATGTCTTGTGTTTCTCTGCAGCCCCTGGATGAGTTTGTCCCTTTAAAGCAGCGGTTCTCAACCTGTGGGTCATGGCCCCTTTGGGGGTCGAACAACCTTTTCACAGGGGTCACCTAAGACCATCGGAAAACATATATTTCTGATGGTCTTAGGAACCGAGACACCACTCCTCTATCCGTCTCCGCCCGGCTTCGAGCTGGGGGCCGTTGCAGCACTGGATTCATTTCCGTCGAGCATCTCCTAAGGGAGGCTGCACTGCTTCACGGCCCTTTCCGTGGAAGAGGCTGAACTAAGCTCTGCCGGCGCTGTCGCCCTCTTGGCTCTCTCTCTCGCGCGCGTTCTCTCTCTCCCTCTCCCCACCTGGGCGCTTCTCCAACCAGGCTGGGCGGAGCCAGCAGAGCGGCCTTCCTGCCCCCCCCAGCCAACTGGAGCCGGGCAGGCCGGCGACCTTCAGAAGTGAGGCGAGGACAGGCGAGGCGCACTGAGCCCCGGGCGTGGCGGGTGAGTGGGCGGCGCCAGTGCGCGCTTGGAGAGCCCTTAGGGTTGGGGGTCACCACAACATGAGGAACTGTATTAAAGGGTCACGGCATTAGGAAGAACCACTGCTTTAAAGGGTCATGACAACAGATAATTTAGTATTATATAGATTTTTCCAATAAAGCAGAATGTTGTGCAGAGGTGCTTATGAGAAAATGCTGAAAATACCATACATCTGAGAAGTAAAGGTATTTGGTAGATAGTTTTTTTAATATAATTATCTAAACATATAATTTCAATTTTGTTTTGTACAATTTTAACTGGTGCTTTATTCTTGTTGATATTTTTTTAAAAAAATTATGATTGTACTATAACCCAGAGGATACATTATACTGTAAATAACATGTTTGTTTGTTTTTTATTGTTGGAAAATTAGTGACAGTAATTTCCAGTTTAGTTTTCACCCAGTTAGTCCCTCTATCCAGATCAGAGCAATTCAGCTAGCAAAAAATATATATAGCCTGAGGTTTATTTATTAAACATTAGCGCAAATATTAAAAGCAGTTAACTGGCAAAATGGGATAAAAAGCAGGGGAAAGGAAGGGAGAAGAGAAAGACACAGGAACAATAGGGAAATAATAAGACAGCAGAAAACTCAACAGCAAAAATTTATTATCTATCTTTTTATCAAAAGGCACAGAACTTTCCAGAACAGTTGGAAACAATCCTATGGATAATTAGCATGGACAATTCCAAAGGGAATGGCCTTTGCTTATTCTAATCTTAACCTTTTTACATACAAAAGAGTAGCAGAAGAGAGATGGAAAATAATACACCATGTGATCCATCCTCTATTCTGCAGCATAAAGAGAACAATTTGGTATGGATGAGGGTGATACATCCAATGGTTAAATGATTGGTAATCACATTTTCTTCACAATGTCCTCAAAACCAAGGTAGGTAAGAATTAGAGATAGGGACTTGGTTCTTATATTTCTTAGGGAAACTTTGTGATTTGTGTGTGTGTGTGTGTCTGTGTCTATGTATATATTATATATACATCACAGAGAAAGAGAGAATTTTAAATAT